GACGGAGTCAATGAAATGCCCCGCCGGAGTTGTGGGGGAAAAAAATGAGCTGTACTGTTATAGCTTCTCAATACATCTTTCCAGCATACTACAACTGTTGTAAAATAGGTTCAAGTTTACTTTGGAAAAGAATTTTGGCGCATGGTGGAGAAATGAGGTTGAATGCATGAAATATCTCACAACATGATATTGTTGACTTTTCTGTATACTTTGCTACCAAATCTCAACATCTGAGCCTTTCTTATACATAGTTAACATATGGCAGAATATATATCCCCTGCTCCAAAGCAGTTTTCTGATGGTTTGGGGGAGCTGGAGCTTGAAAGGGTGAAAATATGACTCTAAACATGAAACCACATTCTTTCTTATTTCCTTTCACTATCTAAATCTTGTTGAAATGCTCCCATACTTTCCCCAAATATAGCCTACATACTTTAGAATCAATTCAGATAGGTGGGGGAAGCAGTTGTGAGGGAAGAAAAAAAAATATAACTTGATGTATGCAAAATGGCATGTTGTGCAACTGGTTTGTATAAAGATTCATGCACCAAATAGCTCTTTCCGAGGTCTGTTCACAAAAACTTCTTCAATCACTGAGAAAACTATTCCAAATGATTCTATTCCTTTCTGGGATCCCCCCAATGTCTTTGTTTTGTTGGCGCGTTGCATCGCCAATGAGCGTGGCACAGTGCGTAGTTTCAGATGGTGTGTGAATAATGCGCTCCTTCCATATTAGGTTGCCGCTGGCCCATATTAGGTAAGGCGGGCTGCCAGAGTTGTTCTACTTCTAAAAACTAAATGGTGCACACCTCAACTATCTGACCTCCAATTCAGTGGATCTTTCTTTTGTATTATGAGGATTTGTCATGGCTACTAGCAGGACCTTTCATCGATATTGTGCGTTGATTTCTTGACAATATATTTCTTGTTTCTGCAAATCACATATTCCAAGCCATTGCATGTTTCAGTTCACATGGATGGATGATCTGGGCACCAGCTTAAAAATGCTGTAGTGGATTGACTCCTCTATCTTGAATAAATGCTTCGCCAGAGCTGACATTGAATTTTGAATGCCCCGTCGGAGTCAATCAAATGCCCCGCGGGAGTCAACATTTTGAATTCTCAATTCCCTGTCAGTGTCAATCAAATGCTCTGCCACAGTCAATAAAGTGCTCTGCTAACTTGACGTATTCAAGATCATGCCACAGATGACCATATTGTGGAGGTCATGTTTTCTATTTCAAGGTCAAACACCCTGATGGGGCCATTGCCGACAGTGCCTTCAATCTCAACCTCAAACACCCCGACGGCAACATCCTCCGTGGTGCTTTCAATCTCAACCTCAAACACCCCGACGGTGACATCCCCCGCGGCACCTTCAATTTCAATGTCAAACACCCCGACGGAAACATCCCCTGTGGCACCTTCAATCTCAATGTCAAACACCCTGACAGAGACATCCCCAACAGAACCATCAATTCCAGTTTGACACCCCAATGGAGCCACAAATGAGTAGACAAGGTGTGAGTAGCTAAATGAAAAGCTTTCATTTCTTAACTACAAGGTGAGTGTTTCCCTGTTGGGACAAAATTCAGTTTTTGGTTGATATGGAGACTATCTTGCAGGAGTTGGATGAGATAAAGATTAAGATACATTATGCTACAGATCTAGATGGATGTAAGTAAGGGGAGAGAGGCCCCAGTTAAATTTTTTTGTAGTTCCATCAGGATGGGCTGAGAGCCCGTCGGGACGTGGTCAGAGCCTGTCGGTTGAAAAAGTGGTTCCGCCGCGGGAGCGTAAACCCTGCCAGGGTCAGAAACCGGCCGCTTCGTTGCCAATGGAACAATGGCAATCAAACCGGCCGCCCCGGCTGACCCATTCACTACGACTGATTGTCACGTCCGGCTGTTCCGTTGTTATTGGACCCATGTGACTGAACTAACTATTCGGCGGGCATCGTCATTGATAAGGTGTTAGGGTTAGGCAGTGGCACGGGTTGGGGTAACCCGTCAGGGTTACGGGTTGGGGTATCAACGGGTCAGGGTACGGGTTGGACATCTCGGAACCCCATACCCGAAGTACCCGTATTTCTATATTAGGAAGTAGGAGCCTGCTCATCCAAACTATACCTAACAACTGCAAAAAAAACTATACAGCAACTATACAGTCGGTTCAAGCCACCGAAAAAAAGGTATAAAAGGCAGCTAATCAGGACACCAACCATCCGTCTCAATGGCAAAGTCGAAAGACGATGCGCAGTCCGCTAAATCCGCCAAAACAACTTCTACTACAAAAACATCAGCTTCATCACTCGTAACCAAGGCAAAGTCCGGCCTCGCGACTCTTAAGCGCAAGGCCATGGCAGTTCTGAGCCCGAAAAAGAAGAAAGCTCGCATCCCCGAGGGTGCCGAGATTGATGTAAGATTGACATACCTCTATCATATCTTCGGGGCCCAGGCTGACATCCAGTTCCAAGGTCCCAGAACAAGCCGCCCCCAAAAAATCCTATCCGAAGGCGAGCATTATCGATGTCGACGATGACGACAAGCCTGAGAGTGCTGCTGAGGATGAAGAAGACGAGCTCAGTATGTATTGTTGTTTACCTCATGACTTGAACAAGGTACTTACATCGACTTAGAGCGCATGATGAAACACTGGACATCACCGGTCTATGCATTCTACTCACAAGTATTAGTTACCTTACCCCACTAATACTGAGCCCCCCGACCATACAAACAGACCATAGTTGATGGTGCCTGCTGATGAGCCCATGGATCAGTTGACCCCATCAAAGGTGGACCGGCCATCAAGACTCTCTTAGGACTGGTACTGTGCATCGGCTGAGAAGTGTACCCCATGAATTGACATAGCTAAAAATGCCTTGGATCCTGGGTCAACCGATCTCTTCATGGATTGGGCTCAACATGTGTCATGGGTCAGCTGAAGAGCTCTAAATCCCATGCATTGTGGATCAGCCCACAGCCGTCTCATTTTTATTTGCCAAGTTTACCTCGGCTTTTCATTGCCGGTCATCATGCAGTTTACTGGGTCGGGTCCATCACCTACCAAGAAGCCGAGCACGGTGACATGGTCAGTCAGCTAGTACCCCATGAATTAAATATGCCTTGGATCCTGGGTCAACCCGTCTCTTCATGGAATGGGCTCATGTGTCATGGGTCTGCTGAAGAGCTTTGAATCCCATGCAGCGTGGATCAGCCCAACCTGGTCCCATCCAGTTGACACTATACGGCCGAGTTTCGTCTTCACTCAGGTTTTATTTGCCAAGTTGCTCAAACATTACCTCGGCTTTTCTTTGCCGGTCATGGTCCAGTATTCGGTCATGCAGTTTACTGGGTCCATGACTTCCCAAGAAGCCGAGCACGGTGACGTC